AGATTGATGGACGACGATGCCTGGACGAGCCTTGGCAAAATGTAAGGCTACAAATTTACTGTCGGAAAATATCTTGATCCAGGTTTTGCATACGCATTTGCATCGGAACACGGCTCGGGCAGGGAGCCTCGACAGAATTTCAACCAAAATATCTGATGGTAGGTTCATTAAGAAAACATTTTTCTGGTTTATGTATTTGCAGTCTATCGAATTCTCCATAGCTGCTGTAGTGGGGGTGGACTGGGGTGGGTTCTCTCTACATCTAAGCCAAGGCAAAGATGAATTTATATATAAGAGTTGTTGCTTTATAATAACGCTTTCATCCAACATAGAGGAAAATTGGAATACGGCACTTTTTAACGTTATTTCAAGATTCCATTTCCCATGTCAGTTTCTTGTTAGAAGGCCGGCAAGTTGTTTTCGTCTGGGAAAATGCCATTTTGTCCGAAAATATTTGACACTAAAGGTGATAGGCACTTACAAAGTGTGCGGGTGCGGGTCCCACGTAAATTAAATAATGTCTGACCCTCGAGTTGTGTGTTCAATTATCTCCTACGTCAACCGTCATATTCCTCTAACTCAGTCCTTTCGTCTGTTAAATGACAGATAGAGATTGAAAAACATGTTGCTTGTATTTGAATTTTGAGTTCATTTTCAATTTTTTTTATTTTGAGAATTTGTTTTAAAATTGTTGAAACTCATCATTTTGAAAAATTAATTTTCGAAACAAAAAAAACTACAAAACACTTTTGATTTGAGATTTTATATATTTTATGTTTTTGTATTATATTTTTAAAAATTTTATTTGTTAGAATTTTATATTTTTATTTTTAAAAACTATTTCATTTAAATAAAATTTTATTCAAACAATTGTTTTCTCTATTTTGAATGGTTTCAGTATTTTATCTGAAAACGTCAAAAATGTATTTTGAATTTTATGTTATAAATTTATTCTTGTTTTCGAAAATATATTTTGAGAAATATAAGATCAAAAATATTTTCAGTGTTTTGCAACATTGAGAACAGCTTAAAATGGCAAACCAAACGTACTCTTAAAAATTGTGTCAATTTAACGGTTAATTTTACTGATGGCCACCGAAGTTTAACTTGTTTTACACTGATCACTAATTTTCATAAAAAGTTTCATTTAGTTTATTGGTTCAGTTTGATGCTTATTCTTTAATTGAAAATCCTACTTCTTTGCAGGTTAGTGCGTGTACGTATTGATAGTCGAGTTATAAAAATGATCCAAAGTTGAGTCAGTGGTTTGAATATATTATTTTGTAGAGTTGAGTGGTGAATATGAGACAAAATTAAACTTTAGTGGCCAAGGTGATATTAAGTGTAAATTCTAGTGGCCACTAGTAGTCAATGATTTGCATTTTTCATATATATATATATATATATATATCTTTGTTGATGACTGAAAAAGGACATGTCAAATTAAGATCAACTTGATACAATTTTTGGGCAATTGCTGGACATCATGCTACAGTGTCGATCTTGAAATACATGTAAATGTCTAATAAATGAGTTTGATTGAGTGTTAACGTCAATAGATCAAGTTGTCATTTTGCCTATGTTTTCGATGTCTCCTAGGTACCCCTAAGTCATCACTATTTTCCTTTGATTGATGGCATCTGAAGACGACCACTTCAGAAGACACAATTGTATCAATATAATTGGTCACGTTTGTGGTTATAGTGTCAGCAATGAAACACTTTCACAAAAAGCAATGATGATGTTTTCAAATGATAATGATCGATCAAGTTTGGTGAGAGAGCTGGCAATTCGACCTCAAATTATATTTTTGCAATAGCATTTTCAATTTTCTGAAGTGGGTCCATGACGATCCTTGAGTTTGGTCACCAAAAATCTTAAATCTTCCTTATAAGTAGCAATGATGATAATATATTCCATAATCAATTTTTAGTCATTTATTAGAAAAAGGTAATCCCTTATCAGAAAAAATTACAAATTATAAAAAGGCAAACTTTAGTTCCATCATGAGACTTGGTGCTCGGCAGAACTTATGCTGATGGATTTGAGTTCTTTAATTTTTATTTAATTCCTATTCAAAGCTGCTTTTATTATTACCTTAACAAAACTTGGACTTTCAAAGCTGCTTTGACAAACAATGTGGGTCCTTCATAATTAATTAGTGGTCCCAACTATTTTTACCAACTAAGGTGAGGAATGAGAATCATGACGTTGCTTAAATAGACGTGCCTACCGGCTTTTCTCAAATCTTGACACCTCAATATAATAAATAATGTTATTCAACACCAGTGATATTTAATGTCAATTTAGGCGACAATACTTACAGATTCAACTAAGTATAATGATTTATAACTTATTAATAGAACATATAATATACTGACACATAAATAGATGTTCAATACTATCGATTTTATATAGCATTATTCCAATGTGAGATGTATTTTATTACATAAGGTCCTTATCTCGGGGCGAATCAACATAGAGGGCCTTCACATGCGTTTTTAGATACTCTCCAAATTTGTGAATGTGGATATTCGAGCAGTAATTTTAATTTAAACAAATGTCTAAGTTCAGCGACCATCTAAGCAATTTTAAGCTTCTCAATGTCCTACTGTCAATTCCGTTTGCCATACAATGCTCACGTTAGATACTCTCCGTTAATATGTATACACTAGTGAGTGGTAACTTAAACAAATGTCTAAATTGTTTGTGACCATCTTTATATTCATCAGAAACTCGACTTACCCCAAACCCATATGTGGCTATGCTAGGATACCAAACGACTCCCTCGGGTGTCGGAGCCTAACATATTCCAGCGTAATTGGATTAAAAACGTAAACACTTTCTTCTTTTTAATTCGTGTCCCGTGAGCATATCAAGTCATTAACAGAAACCATCAAGAACTATATTTGCATTAGAGAATTCATTCATCCTCTTGAGATCAACTTTCACAAGAGAATCATCATCAAGATCATTATGATCAATTTCATCTTCAAATTCCACCACCTTGATGATATTCTTGAATATTTCTGATGGACGACGAGGCTTGGACGAGCCTAAATTTAATATCCCAAGACTTTTACAAAAGTGAGGTTTTTTATTTGTATTTTGTGTTTCAAAGTTAGTATGTGAAGGTTTTACAAAAGTCATTAAAAGCTATTGATATTTTGAATATCGATAACTTTTAAAGACTTTAAAATGTCTTAAGTTAATTTCCCAAGTCTTTTAAGGAATTTTACAATGTGTATAATATTTTTATTTTTAATGCCTTAATACTTTTATGGGAAATTTTTCAAAACACCCTAT